GTAAAGTATAGATATAACAGTCACAGTCTAATTTCAGTAAAGTATAGAAACAATAGTCACAGTCTAATTTCAGTAAAGTATAGAAATAATAGTCACAGTCTAATTTCAGGAAAGTATAGAAACAATAGTCACAGTCTAATTTCAGGAAAATATAGAAATAAAATTTGGTAAAAGTATAGAATTTTTTTGTAAATCAATGAACATAAATATTAAAGTGAAAAATTGTAATATAATTTACCTTTATTTTTGGGAAAGAGTTATTAATAGTGTTCTTTAGGGATTTCTATTCAAGTTACAAAAGATTTTTGTACATTGTTAGACTAGCACTGATAGTGGTCCACTATACAGTAAGGAAGTCTGCAAACCTGATTTCTAACTACATACAAAACTATTTATTAAAGTGATCTAATATTGCTTTAGATTGAATTATGAGGTGGAATTCTGAGACATGTTTCTTTAAAATAAATTTAAAAATTGTGTTTCAATGTTGTTGTTTTTTTTAAGAGACTATAGCCATTAAATTTATTTTTCATTTTTATGAGAAAATTCTATTCAGGGGACTATTATGCCAAATAAGCAATATAGAAATTATATATTTAAATACTGATGCTTAATTTGTTTCAACTTGTCAGATTGAAGAAACAAAACTTCCTGTCCCACCTGCTGCAATCTCAGAGTTAGGATCCAAAGTGATTGCTAATGGAGTTGCTACAAGCTCCAGTCAGCAAAAGTTGGACGCTGTTGCTTGGGGCTATGCCCCTGGCTTGGGAAACTCCCCTGCCCCTCAACAGGAAGTCAGCAGTTCCGCACGGCCAAGTGCACCAATAGCTTCAGGGACACCTCACTTGGTGGTCGGCGGCCAGCATAGCGTTATTAGTGTTGATGAAGGCACTAGTGCTCGGGGACAACAAGGACAATTTGCTAGTAAGTTCTGAATGATACCAAAGATATCTTATCCAAAAATACAACCTTTTTAAAAATGTTTATCTATGTATTAAAATTTAATGTGCATTTTTAGTCTCAGAATTTGATGATAGCTTTTCCTTGGTCTGTACTTGGTATTTCTTGTTTAGATCCTAGAAAGTTGTTTGATACAACCAAAGAAGATGAATTGTTTGGTAACATAAGAAGATCACGTGATCATGATGAGGACAAATATAAGAGGCGGCCAGCATTGCAGTGGTTAGCTTGGTGGTTCAAGTAAGCCTTTCACCTAAACTTAATAAATTAACTTTTAGATCAGTGGTCTCACTTTGATATTTTTCTTCTAACCAGCTCTTTATTTTAAAGGTCTGGCAGGCTCCTTGCAGCCTGTGGGACAGAACAAAACCATATCACCTCCTCATATTCTCTTTACTGTCAATGGGCAACTTATTTTATTTATAATTAAATAATTTGGGACACCAGTATTCATAAAGAAAAATGTGGAAAAGTTTCTACCCATATACTGTTTTTTTTTGGTTTGTTTTTTTCAAATATTTGGAAATCTAAAAGTTTTTCTTTCCACTTTTGTTCATCCATAAACCTATCACATTTTGCTTTACTAGTCTATAAATAAAATTGTACAAGCTTCAAGTACACAACATTTCTGCATATTGCTGCAGAACTGTAGGAACAAATTTACGATATAAAAGTGTGAAGAATGTGTTTTTGTTTAGCTCATTAGTTGATTTAATTTTTCTTTTAGTATCACTCTGGATTTTTTTTTCTCCTTAAATCTGAATTCTGTCTTTATTTTTAAAAGGGTTCTTTATAGTACCTGGAATTTTATTTTAAAATTGAATGAAAATATTGAAAAAGTTTCTGGTTTGATCAGATTCGAGCTTTCAAGTCCTTAAAACCCTGAGCCATTTGATACATAAGGAATTAAGAATTTGTGAATAGCTCCCCTTGTATTAAGTTGTCAGTGTACAGTATTTCTTCCTCTTTTTTTTTTTTTTTTTATTTACTGGGTTTACATGGAAATTGCCTCCCCCCCCCCCCCCCCAACCAAACCACCACCATGCCACACAAACACACACAGTCCTCACCCAGAGTGTTAGTTGCAAAAAATAAAGCCTTTTTTTTTGTGTGTGTTCAATGTAGATTTTATGTGCAAGTTTATTGGGGTTTTTTTTTATGTTCAATGTAGATTTTATGTGCAAGTTTATTGGGTTTTTTTATAAAGCAAAGAAAACTCTTAAATCTTTTTGACAACTTGAACTTTTATTATGGCGAGTGCATTTCTATACTATCTATTGCATACAGCTCTCTCCCACTCTCTCTTTCTCAAGGTTGAAATCACTTTAAAGGTTCAAGTCTTTTATATACATTTTTAACTCTACCTGTTCATTAGCATATTACTCATTCAATTATTTACCAGGCACATTTATAAAACAAAACATTCTGAGCAATTCTGGCTCAGCTCTTACAGTTTGTGCATAGAGCAATGTGAGCTTGACTTTCTCCACTTATTCAGTAACAGTGGTCTCAAATGTATCCCAAGTTTAGTCATCATTGAATTCATGATTTAAACATTGATACATTCCAGTGGTTCACAATAACCTCTCCAGATATTATTGTGTATGGGAGGATCTCTCCAGATATTATGGTGTATGGCAGGATAATCTCTCCAGATATTATGGTGTATGGCAGGATAATCTCTCCAGCTATTATGGTGTATGGGAAGATAATCTCTCCAGATATTATGGTGTATGGGAAAATAATCTCTCCAGATATTATGGTGTATGGCAGGATAATCTCTCCAGCTATTATGGTGTATGGGAAGATAATCTCTCCAGATATTATGGTGTATGGGAAGATAATCTCTCCAGATATTATGGTGTATGGGAAGATAATCTCTCCAGATATTATGGTGTATGGGAAGATAATCTCTCCAGCTATTATGGTGTATGGGAAGATAATCTCTCCAGATATTATGGTGTATGGGAAGATAATCTCTCCAGATATTATGGTGTATGGGAAGATAATCTCTCCAGATATTATGGTGTATGGGAAGATAATCTCTCCAGATATTATGGTGTATGGGAGGATAACCTCTTCAGATATTATGGTGTATAGGAGGATAACCTCTTCAGATATTATGGTATATGTAGTTTGTAACACAGCAGTATTAGTCATAAAAATTTATTTATGTTTCAGTTCAGTGGATGGAAACAGACGGAAAGATCCGCATGCTGTTAAAAAAAGATTTGCTGTGCTTCTCCTACTGGGTATCATCGGATTCATCACCGTGGTCATTATCTTCTCCAAACTAGGCCGCCAAGCCACAGAAGACGACCCGTTCTTAGATCCACTGGCCAACCCCAACATTAAAGTGCAGGCTAACGTCGTTTAGAAAAACTTTCCAAGGACCCAAATTAAAAATGGAACAATTCAATGCTGAGCTCCAGTCTCTCGATCAAACATTTGAATGTTGGATTTAATCTGGGTTAAAATTGTTGACATTCTTCAGTTTATAAGTTCTTTGAGATGATAGAAAAGTATCAACAAAATAAAATAAGTTATCAATTTGTACATACACATATATATATTTGTTTCGTTTATAACATCAGTTGTTTTCTATTAAGAGCACTTTCAACCAATTTTAATTAGAAATAAAACTTTTTTTTTTTGGTCTGCTATGTTCTCATAGCGCCTAGAGCCTATGTTATGCTAGTGAAATGTAACATAGCAATGCTATAAAATTAAATTATTATTTTTAAATTTCTGAAATTGGCCATTGCACTTAGACTAATTTAACTGTATGATTTTCAATGTAAATATCTATTCTGTTTATTGACAGTGAAATCTGGCTCAGTTTTCATCTATCAAAGTTCTTGTGATGGTGGTAGCATTACAAATAGTCATGTTCAGTGGGCTTAATAATAGACAAGCTTGACTTGGCTACCCATAGTTTTATTGCTTTTGCTGTTAACTTCTGTGACAGGAGAGCATGGTTGAAATGAATGCTACTTAAACTAAAAAAAACTGTGATGAGATGTCCCATCTTCTTCTTCTTCTAGCCAGCTTTATTGCTGCTGAGCTGTCAGCTCTTTTGCAGACTGTGCCAAGGAAAAAAGTGTGCTGTTTTCTTCAGTTGTTGAGCACTGCCGTACAGGGTGTTGGTTGTGTTGGGCGAGATGTCCCATCAAGTTTAACAGTTCTATAGTCAATCATGAAATGTAACATCAAGATTTGTTGGGATCATTTTCATAAAATTACATCCTTTTAATAATATTTTGCAATCTTTAAAACTAGTAAAGCAACATCTGTCTACTGGTACCATGTTACACCAATTTAAGCCTGTATCAGGTTGCACCAAATTTATATCTACGATTAGAAGACAGCAAATATTTTGGGTTGCACTTAGATATTTAATTATTTTATTTACAGCTCAATCTTTAAATAATTCTCTCCATTTTTAACTTTAAGCAGCATTTTATTCTAAGTAAATTGTTTCAGGATTTTTACGTTTAAGGTTTATATTTATGCATTAGTCTTACCAGATTTTTATAAGGAAGCTACCAGATCATTGAGAATGTTAATGCTTTATATTTGTTTATATCTTTATCTGTGATGCTTTGAATATGTCCCTTATATTAGCTTTTCTTTTTTTTTTATGTTTTGCATTTTCTTTTTTTTTTTATGCCCAACTTTATTATTTTTCTCTTTCAGATCATTTGTTTTCAGATGGTGAAGTTACCTGCCTTTAATTCAGTATAAATTGCCCTGTCTTATGTAAATGTGACAAGGATTTTTTCTTCATTAGTTCTCTATGAAATATAATCTAGATAACATGTTTTATGAACTTGTTGATTGGCATGCAGACTAGCTACTCTCACACATTATTTTATTGACTAAGCTAAATACTTGACTAAAATACTTATTAAGATAATTTGAACAAGTTTTAAGTTTGTCTTTTTTTTTTTTTCTTTAGCCTTCAGTTGTCTGTCGATGATAGACTACTTGCCATGTTGTCAAATTGACAAGTTTTTTTTTTTTTATTAAAATATTTTTTTTAAATTTATATTCTAACATTGACCAGGTTATTGGATTTATTATATAAATTTATATTCTAACATTGACCAGGTTATTGGATTGATTATATAAATTTATATTTTAACAGTGACCAGGTTATTGGACTGATTATATAAATTTATATTCTAATATTGACCAGGTTATTGGATTGATTATATTTATTTTTCGCTCTCTAACTTTGCATTGCTCATCACCGACATGCTGTAGTCAACAAATGTATGTACTGTGAAAGTGTGACGCAGAATACGCTAATGTTCATGCAAAGTTTATAACTATCTTGTTGGAGACTGATGTGTGAAGTGTGGTGTGTCAAGTCAAACTACAGAACTGACGGCACACTACACTTCTTTTCTCAATTGTTTTAGACTGTTTATCAGGCACATCATTAGATTGGTCATATCATACCTAATGACTTAAATCTTTTTTTCTGTGAGTTTAAAAAATTGTGAGGTTGTTGGTTGGTACAAAAAGAATTAAAATTCTCATGGGCTGTCAGTAGTTAATGATTGACCTGCCTGGTGGTTTCATTTCTTATCTTCATTTAAGTAGATGTGCCAGAAGTTTGAAATAGGAGCTTTTGATTGGTGGATGGATTATACACTCTCTTTGAACTGATCAATAGTTAGAAGTTTACTTCTAGTGTTGGGATTTGTTACAATGATAGATGTTGGAATTGGTTAGTATGCAAGAAACTAAAACTTGTTTTATAACTTAGATTTCTACTTTGTGCATTAGACTGCCATCAAAAAGTCATGAAAAAAAAACAAACTTGAATGTCAATATTACAACGTTAGAACCTGCATTGAAAAATGTTTGCACGGATAGGAAGTCATAAATTAACCTGAAGTGTGTGTGTGTGTGGATAATGCAGAGATTGTGTGTTTGTGTGTGGGTGTTTTAAAAGTTTGATTCTGTTGTGCATGTAATCAAAGTATTATTGCTTTAAGAATGCTGACACATTTGTACTAAAAATTGTATTAAATATCATATACAACATACAAACTATCTTTCAGGAAAGTGTATAGTATACATTTGGGATTATCATCTTGTTTGGTCAGAATGTTGATTAAAAATGTTTGAAAACTTTCATGCCAGTTTTGACTTTGTATCAGAGATGTCACTTTCTGTTGTATTTGTGATGTCACACTTTCTGTTGTGTTCAGAATGTCTCACTTTCTGTTGTATTCGTGATGTCTCACTTTCTGTGGTATATGTGATGACTCACTTTCTGTGGTATTAGTGATGTCTCACTTTCTGTTGTATTTATGATGACTCACTTTCTGTTGTATTTGTGATGTCTCACTTTCGGTTGTATTCGAGATGATCATATAAAGTTTTTTTTTCCACATCTGCAAGATCTCTGTGCCATGATTATGTCCCCTCTCCAGGGCCAATCAGGTCTTCTCATTTTAAGTCACTGTGACACAAACATCCAAGCAACATTCCAGGACTCACCATCGACAGCAAGGAGAACATTCTAAAAACAAGAATTTTAGAAGGCGGCAAATGTGTACTTCGTCTTATAGGGACGCTTTGATTAACTTCATCTTCTATATTATAAAATAGAAAGTAAGGCGTATGTATGTTACTAATAGAGATCAAAACCGCTTGACCAATCTTGATAAAACTTGCCAGAAATGTTCCTAGGGTACTAAATTAGACCGTAGTGTATGTATTGTAGCCCTAAAACAAACTTAAGACCCTCAAAAAAAAATGTTGAGCAACTCTATGAAAGCATTATAACTAGGGGTGCACCGAATAGTCGCTCCGGCTTCTGCCTAATATCCGGCAATTTTTACTATCCGGTGATATTCGGCTCCGGTCGGATATCACTACCGGATATTAAAAAATGCACCTATTTAATATGCATAAAGTGGACCTCGTTCCATTAATGTCTGTTGTAAAATGTATTACTGTTTATATTAAAACAAAATAATGTGCTTAAAAATAGAGCCATTATGAATATGCACCAAACATCGTTTATTATAAAGACAAGGCATGTTAATAACTTAATATAAACAGAGATGAAACTTTACATCATTAATGCGCTTGACATACAGAGCAGCAATGGCTGGCACTTTTTTCAATTTGTCTTGACCTTTGAGTAGTTTAGTTAACATGTTAAAATGCTACATTCCTTGACTACTTCATGCTGACCAGACGTCTGTCTAGCTGTGTGCGTATATCTCCAGAGGTAGAGATGAACAACTCCCACCCCATTTATTTGAGGGTTTTTTTTTATAGGCAAGTGACCACAAGTTCAATACGATGGACGTAGGTTTAATGTCAGCGTATTGACACTCTCTAGAGGTCACACCTTTCGAGGGAACTACTTAGTAGTTAATCTTTAGGGGGGGGGGGGGGCTGGACTACAAGAGCCACACCTCTAAGGTAACTAGGACTAGGTATATTTCCAGATGAACAACTCCCTACCCCTTTTATTTGTTTAGTTCATCACATTGAGTTCATTGATTGACAGGTGACCCCAAGTAAGATACGATGGACGTAAGCACGCTCTAGACTCTAGAGGTCACACTAGGGAACTAGGTTTGTTTACTTAGTAGTTAATCTTAATGGGGGGGGGGGGGGGGACTGGACTTCAAGCCAAACATCTACACGGGTATCCGGACAAAGAGTTTGCTTATTTGGAGAAAAATCTTAATCACTTGATTGGGCTAGAGGCCAGGATATTACACTGTCAGTAAATATTACAGTTAAATAATTGTTCTAACGTGTTAACTTGAATATTACTCCTGCAGTTAAGTGTCTTGATTTGATAACAAAATTCTTAATAATTTGTGACAGTCAATTAACTCCTTGTTACTACTTAGTTATTGCTATTTTTTTTTACTTAAGAGTTAAGATGCGTACTTAGCCACTGTGTATCAGGCTAGGACGACTTTTACACACCTGACATCCATAGACTTACTATCGTTCCCTTTTGTAACAGTTACTGAAACCACGAATACAATAATTAATAAGTAATAATTAAGGAAGATGTTTCTTACATCCGTTCTTTGCATTGAATGTTTCTTACATACGTTCTTTGCACAATAAAATAAAACAAAGATGTGCATGTTTGCGTGTGTGTATTTTTTTGCCTTGTATTAAAATCTTTAGAAAGAAAGCTAATTTCATTGTTTAATTCTTTTGACTCGATAAATAACGGAAAACCTTACAGTAAATTTTAAAATCGCATAAAGTAAATTGAATAATAGTACCGCAGTTAGATCTAGCAAACAAAGAAACAATATGCTGGAGTGTAAAAATCAACAACCCTTGACCTCTAACTAGTGGACGGGTATAATTTATTTATATGCTTGACTGACCATGCCGATGTGTTATCTTTTTTTTACTGACACCCAACTCTATTGCTGCGTATGCTCAAGAACAAAAACAATGTTTGATGGTTAACACAAACAACTATACACACTACACTAGGATTACATGTGTAGGCTCACTAGGTATATCTGACCAGGTTGTTGGTCTGAAATTCATGAACACATACATCCGACCACTATACAAGGCAGATTGCACTTTACTTATGAGAAATTTACATTAGTAACTAGTTAAATATATACTAACATTATTTACATTGACCTTCCTACACACATCCTTTACAGTTGGTGGCATCGTACGCACACACAGACACACTCATGCTATACAGATTTTTAGAAATACTGTTAAGCTTGAATAAACATTCAGTAACAGAGTTTCAAACAATAAGGTATATAAAAGGAAAAAAAATAAAACCAACCAATATAGGTATGTGATTTAAATTTTCGTAAAATGTTCAGCAACACAAGCTATTAACAAGACAGTTATCCGGCCGAATATCAATTCTTACTATCCGGTCATATCCGGCCCCGGCCGGATATCAAAAAGTACTATCCAGTGCACCCCTAATTATAACTTCATCGATTTAGGCCCATATTTACATGAGAAAAGATCGAAAGGATCTAGATCTAATTTTAAGAACTACACTTTGCGCAGATAGTTTTTTACTTTGACACATGAAAATACAAAAGTTAGTCTATTGATTTTATTACGTAATAAAATTGACCTTCAATTTTGTGTTTCAACATACATCTAAATCCAATCCACTAGATGAGTAAACACAAACTTAGACCCGCAGGCCGCGGGTAATGTCAGGCTAGTTGTCTATTATAAGAGAAAACTAAAAAAGATACAAGAATAAGGAAAATCTTAACTCTTTCTCTCCGTAATTATTTTCCACGTTCGATGGAATTACTCATTTGCCAATGTGTGTTTCACATCCCTGTTATGATTAAACTTCAAAAACTTTTTTGTTTGTTATCAGAAAATGTTATATTAGGTATTGAATTATAGGAGAAAGCTTGCTCTTTTTATATAACACAAATTAAAGTTTATAAAACCAAAAATTAATTTAATTTAATGGGATCAAATCAACGTTGGTATCGACAGCTAGGAGAGAAGGAGTTAAAATAAGAGAATTAAGAGGAATCAGAAAATCTGATTGGAAAACAAAATTTTAGACAAAATCTTTGAAACTTAAAAAAAAAAAAAAAAAAAGCCCTCAAATTTAGCTCTACCTAGTGCCCTTGGTTGCTACCTTTGCTATGCAATGCCTATAATCTTAGAGTTTAACGGGACAATGAGGCACTATCTACTAATTACAAAGCAGAGATTTAAAACGATGTATTTAATTCTTATCTTATCTTATATATTACATGTGCCAATCTAGTCATGAATGTTAACCAATGACTTAAACTCTGCTAAGTCGTTGGTTTTCCTGGCTGATTCAGGCAACCCATTCCATTCTCTAATGGCACTGGGGAAGAAGGAGCACTTGTACGAATTGGTCATTAGATTTTAAGTCTACATTATGTTAAAGGTTAATATTTTCACAGGATTAATCGTTTCAATATTTTGTCATTGTTTGAGCTTCTTTTGTATAAGCTATGTATTTTGTTTAATCAATTGTACTTGAAGTAAGTAATAGCAATTTAGGGTGAAACTTGCACGGATAAAATGCTACAACAACTTTAACATAACTAAAATGCTACAACAACTTTAACATAACTATATGTTTATTTCCAGCATTGATCACATTATAGTTATTTTATTTGAAATTGTAAACATTTAATTTGTACCTTTTTCTAAATAGAAGAAGCCAGTAGTCCCAAAAAAAAAAAAAAAGAGGCAGAGCCCAAAAAAATAGTTTGAGTTTAGGCACATCGGCACAATTTAGGCCACGCCGTGCCCGTAATCCCCAAAGGATTACTCTCCCTTTACAAGAGCTAAATTCCTTACAGTTAAATCATTAAAAAAAACAAGGTCTATTCACAGTTCAAATAGTAAAGTTAGTAAAAATTTAATCATTTGTAAAAATCTTTTGTAAATATTATAGGGTCACAATTTCACAAATCAGATCTTCGTAGTCAACTCCCCCTCCAAGACAAAGCCATGGGGCTCCTAACCCTAACCCAAAAAAAGAGGCAAAAGCCAAATGATTCCTAGGATGTAAATAGCTCAACTACTGCCGTCACTAGCGAAATAAACTGGGGTATAAACAAATAAATAAGTAACATGGCCAGGGCAACCACCAAAAGCCATGACTATCTGGTCAGGTAATTAATCAAAGCATACTGGACTCCAACCTCTTTAGAAATATTGAATCGTAAAATGTAAATCCCCCATGCCTTAGCAAGATTGGGTTCAGCTCTCTCTACAGCAGGGGTTCTCAACCTGTGGGTCACGACCCCCTAGTGGGTTGATTGACGATTTGCCAGGGTCGCCTAAGACCATCGAAAAAATGGATTGTTATTGTCTATTCTTTTATTGCTGCATGTGTGTGTGTGGAAGGGGTCGCAACAGAGTTGGGGCAGGGGGTGTAAAAAGGGGTCGCCGAGCATTAAAGGTTGAGAACCACTGCTCTACAGGATACACTCCCCATACATGTGATGCGTATGAGTAGATTCCCTTGCCAGACACCGTGACCACAGGTCGATACATCGTTTTTCACTGTCATGCATGTATAGCGTTGTTATTAACTTGTTATGACACTATAATGAGACATTTGCAATGCCACTCTTTACGTTTGTCA